GCTTGCCCGCTTAGACCAATGTTACCGTTGGCGGCGATTGAATGAAAATGAAAGACGATGTGTCCTGCTCTGGTTGAGCACGGCTCTTCGGTGCTCCCAGCTTTTAGGACTTGCCAAGCCATTGCTGTACCCTCTGTGTGCTTTCCTTGGTTGAGCACGTCTCTTCGGTGCTCCCCGCTTTTACATTATGGTGCGACCGTGTTGGCCTTCACTACCGGGCTGAAGTCTCCTCACCAGGTTGCCGCATCTTGCCCTGCTCTTCCAGTCTGAGGTCTCCTCGCCGGGATTGCTGCAATGACCAGTGGCTTGTGCCATGTGCTTTGTCTTGTACAACTCTTTATGTAGCTTGGTTTCTCAGCTTTGGCTAGTGTGAGTAAGTGCGAGAAAGCTTCAAGCCAGCTGCTTCAACTTTTGGCTGGGGTGTGTAAGAGCGAGAAAGCCCCATGCCAGCTACTTTGACCTCTTAGTGTCCGACCCAGTGTTCCGTGGGAACTTGACGATGGCCACTCAGGGTCAGTGGTCTATGCTCTGGGAAGAATTTTTCGTATGGTGGCAACTCTTGCACAAAATAGTTTCCAGTATGGAGTACGCGCGAGGAGAGGCAATTTTGGCGGCGCTGCGGATTGAATAGCGACTTTCCTAGCTGTGCACATGCTATGTGGGAGGGGGGCTGCATGTGCGGTCTTGGAAAGCTGCAGCCCCCCTCCGCGTTCTTTGGGCCTGAGGCTTTCCGGCTGAGGCAGGTGCCGCCAGGCATCACATGATGGATCGACTGCATGAGAAAAAGCGGCAGATCCCCGCAGCGTTGAGCGAGTTGCATGTACGGTATCAACCTCAGTCCGAGATGGTCCGAGGTCTCGTCACCGGGTAGTCATGAGCATCAAACAGTCATGCCTGCTTCGGACATTGTTGGCAGCTTCCTCATACATGATGGCAGCGCACTGCCTGTCCTAAATGACAGGGCCTTGCAGATGTTTCGTTGCAACCCATGTCTTTTCTTACGAACTGGGACTGGCGTTACCGGGCCCTAGGGGCATTTCACTCGTAGCCAGAGATGGTGTACATACGACAGTCAGACCTCACAAGGTTCCGCCATGTCTCACCAACCATGGGTGATACCACCATGGTGTCCGCCCTCTCGTCACAGCTGCGCTTGCATGAATGAAAGACCTTATCTCAAGGGCAGACTGCACCATCACCATCCGGCAAGCATGGGAAAAAACGGACGCCAACCGGGACCGCATCTTGGAGATCTTTGCCTGGGCCGTCGACGACGTTGAACACGCCATTCATGGCACGGCTAATGACCTCAAAACGCATCTGAGGACCCCCGACCATATGGCGGACTTTCCCCGCATACAAACAACGTGCTCATTTAGGCTTATCACGCATGCTGATGCTGTATGTTGCAAGAATGTGCTGCTATGTTGTGTTGTCTTCTCGGATCGCGCGCCAAACGCCACTGTGTTACCACGGCCCAACGGTCGCAGATATAGAAGGATTTGGACTCATAATTATGTGCAGTTCATGCAGGATGGCATGCTTCACTGAACCAGCTCTGCTCTAATATTTGTATAGCATACAAGTTGCAGCCATTGGATTGCAAGAAACGATGTGCAAACTACGAGAGCCCATCGGCTGCCTGGTTGTCACATCGCATCACAGTTTTGAGCAGAACGCAATCTCAACGTGTCAGCTCACCAAGAAAACGGCTTGGTTCAGCTCAACTTGGATATCTTTAGGACTTGGAGTGGTTAGGCAGTGACCGAGTGTTCGTGCTGGCTAAGGAGCATATGCTCCGGGCTCTCATGGGCAAACCTGCCACACAACAGCATGCGCCGGAGTCCAAACTGGAGCTATTGTCTTGTAATAGAATAGCTGTTTTGCTGATTACCTTGAAGCTCTTGCCAGGCTGGATCAGTTCATCCTGGGTCTCAGCCAGGCCCATTTCATGTTTGCGGCGCAGTTTGTAGCTTCGGCATCAGTGATCGTCACCGCCCAACTTATGCACTTCAAGGGGGATTCCGGCTGGCAGGACCAGCTGACCTTCCTGAGGCGTGAGATCTACAAGCGGCACCCAACTCAGAGCCGTTTGCAAGACCTAGCTGGCATGGCATGTGTCGTCTCTGTTTTGTAAAGGTGCTTGCGCCGGTCAAAGGGTAAGTTAAAAAACTTGGGTCGACACCCAGCTCTTCAGGCGCAGGTGGCCAGATGCATCTCGCCATTTTGCTCTCAGGTTTTTCACTCTGGCACCTGCAGGGCAGGACTACCGGCATTATTTAGCACCAGACTGTCCCTTGCGAAGAACGTGGTGATTGGCAGCTGAAGTGTTGTTCATGTCTTGAGACCTGCATCAGACACCAAGCAGGACTACTTCAAGCAGTCGACAACAAGACTGTACTGGATCGCAGACAAAGTGGTAGAACCGGCCTCGGTGCTTGCAAGCTGACTTGATGCAGGCCTTGGTCGTACCCCTTTCTCGGCTTCTCCTTCTGTACCTCCATCTCTTCCTCCCTCTCTGCCCTTGTGTCTTTCCAGCCTTTCCATCACGTCTGCTCTCTTTCTCTCACTTCCTCTCTCTTCACTCCATGTTCCTTCCCCATCCTTTATCTTTCTTTTTCTATCGCTCTTTCTCTCTCTCTCTCTCTCTTTCTCCCATTTTCTCCTTCCTTTTACTTTCTAGCTCTCTGTCTCTCTGTCTCCCTCCAGCTCTCCCAACCTTCCTTGCTTAAGCTCTTTCATCCCTCTCTCAGGAGATGACTACTGAGATGTTCAAGGATCCAAAACGCCTAGTCGAGGACCGGCATTTGCTTGGCTTTTTGAAGTTGGTAGTCAGGTAGCACGAGACCACTTGAGCGCGAAAATTTCAAACTCTGGGAGTGCATCCTCGTCAGTGGGGATTTTGCTGTCCAGTCCGTCTCAAGCGCCTCTATCCAGGACATCTCCGCGCTAGGATTGCGCCATGTCGGCTACGGCATCCCCACAGAGTTCTTTGCTCCGTTTGTGCCCGGAGCCAAGTCTGAGAACCTGCACCGTCGCATTTTAGCAGTGATGGGTACTGTCTGCGACTTCAAGTTGTAGATTTTTTGACCATAGGTCTGCAGCAGTGGATGCTGTGAAGACCATGGAGGCTCAGGACAGGTATGGACAGGTCAACGTTTCTGCAAATTCTGTTTGGTGAGCTGTTGTCATCAGACTTGTCATGCTCTGCTGCAAAGTCTCCCCTGTTTGCTCTGCTTCTTGCAGCGTGACCTCACATGACAGCTAAGAACTAGGAACTGACTGCTGGTCTCCTCAGCCTCCATCTCCCTGGTTCTTCCAGCTTGTTTTTCCATACCAGGAGCTGGCTCAAGATGCCTTCCGATGGTCCCTGACCCTGGTTTCCAAAATTTTAGCCGCTTGTCGCATTCAGCACGGGCGGGCACTGAGCGCAGCCAGATGTTTGCAGCAAGCACGCATCGTGTCGTTAGTGATGTGCATCTATGTTGAAGGCAGCCATGTGCGATTGTTAGGTGGCCCTTCAAGCTTAGAGTTGACTGTGTTACGGACATAAGTAGCACCGGTGTGGCGCACGCACTGTACCACCCTTTCTAGCCTGAGGTGCGAACCATTTTAGAGGGCTCCACAATTGTGATGAAGGCAGCGGTTTGAGCTTTCAGTGAACGCTGCGGATGCTGCGAAGCTTTGCTTGGACCGTCAGCTTATTTACGCTTCAGGCCATCAACACCAACGATGCCAAGCAGCTTCGGAAAGCTATCTCTGTTGCCCCTCGAGGGAAGCGCAAGGGGCTGAGGAGCATGTAAACCGTGGTTCCTAAGCCAAAAGGATGTTTCTTTTTGCGGACCATGCTGAGGTGCACAGGAACTGCTGAATATTACTGTTGGCACCAAGTCTATCTCGCCGTTGATTTGGTCCATCGAGAGCGGCAGCCTCGTGACAGCCAAAGCTATGCTCGAGGAGCCGACAGCTTTTCGTAAGCTCTGGATAAAACTAATGTAATGCTACTGTAAAGATGTGTGAAGGGGTTTCGCTTCTAACTTTGCATGGACAGGACCTACTGGTCATCCGGGCAGACAGGGACAACTATTACTTTGGTCGCTGAGCATGAAAGTGCTTGCAAAAACTAGCTGCATATTGGCAGACATCAACATTCGAGGCTGCGACCACCTGTTTGAGCGGCATCCTGAGATCATCCAGCGTTTGAGCTTCGATGCTCCCCAGCTGCTGCCAACATTGCTGGACGGATTAATTTGGCGCTCCCGGACAACCATGAATGGTCAAAGAAGAGCCGCTTTGCTCAAAGCATGTGGGCAGGCGGCCAAGAAGGCAGACATGCCCTTCCTGCAGGTAAACTACTATGTCAAGCACCTGATTCAAGATGCAGAAGGGCATTTCAACCAAGCTCTGGCCTGGATTGTTGAAGGCAAGGAAAGGGCGGAGACATGGAAGTGTTCCTGGCCGACAGTGTTTGGAGCTTCAATTCTGAAGGTTTCGATTAAGGCTAGGTAAGAAGAGGTATGCACCTCGATCAGGACAGCCTACCATGCCGTGCTGTTTTGGTGCAGGACATGATCCCAAGATCATTTGCCACGATGTGGTGGTCCTGTTCTCGGATCTGCTTTGGTCTGGCTTGGCTGGTCACACCTTCCTGCTGGGCAGGCCTGTGCATGGCTGCCAACTGAAAAAAGCTTGCAATAGATCTGTGAAGTTTGTGAGGCAGAATGCATGTGGGTGGAAGGACCCTCGTTTTAGATGAGCTTAGTCACTGCGACCCCGTTGCGTAGTTACTCTGCGGATACCCGCGTGGGTTGTTGCACTCTGATGGAGCCGCAGGTGCTACTTCCTGTTCACCCTTGCAGTCTTCATCGCAGGGCAATCTATCCTGCAGCAGCTGCGTGAGGACCTGCAAAATCAAACCGACGCTCCTCGTCTGTGCTTCATGGATTCAGGGAATGGACAGAGCAGATAGCTGCACCATTGTGTGCGCGTCTTTGCTGAGTCTGCATGCTGAACATATCCATCCGCCACCGTGATGGCTTGTGGCTCTTAACTCAAACCAGCGAGCTGAGGGGCATCTGCACATCGTTGGAGAACCTTGCGTGCTTCTCAAGAGAACCCCAAGACCGCTTAGCCTTGCACCTGTCCTGCCATGATCCACATATCCCAAACATCGACTTGATGTTCTTCATGTTGCATTTTTAGAGCACTCTCTCCCTCAGCTGTTCTCGCAGACCCCTTGGAGTGCTGTTTGCTCTATGTTTACAGCGTGGTGGGTTATTACGGAGCGAGCCTGGCCATTGCGTAAAGAGTTATGTGCTCTGCGGAGGAAGTCTTGCACCACCTGGGATCTGCAGACTATTGTAATTGCTAGGGTAGAGGTATAGCAAGATTTCCTCGATGCAGAGTATGTCCTTGCATGATGTGTTGAAGATGCAACTAACCTTTGCAAGTTGTGGGCAAATCTTGTGCATAGAGTTTGCGTGAGAGCTTCACAGGACAGGGCGTAATGACGGTGTCGTACATCGACGGCTGTTCTGCACAAATCCTGAGCTCCAGTTGTGGTTAAGCGCCTCAGCCTGCTGAGGGAGAGCGCATTGCTATTTTTGCCTGCCGCATCACCATCTATGTCTTCAGCATGGGCGCGCTGTTGATCAATCAGGTTCGCTGCTGCTGTGCAAAATTAGAGAATTTGATGTGGGGCAGGGTCCAGGCTTCATCGGCTCCATCTGACTTTTCACTCAGGGTTGTGCTAGGTGACAAGAGCCTCTGAAGCATAAACCAAGGCTTGATTACCGACATCAGGGAGCGCAATCTTGTCAAGTTGCCACTTGGTCGCAGCAGCAATGGCCTCCTGTTAAGCCCCTTAGTTCAGCTGAAGTGAAGGAATTTGCCAGATGAATGCAGGGTGAAATCAAGGCTTCAGAAAGAGGTGAGAGACTGAGAGACTCCGAGGTTTGGAGTGCTGCCGTTCCCACAGTACTTGACCAATACAATGCAGATTGGCAACCTGGCGCTGATGCTCTGCTTGCTGGTGATGTGTACCCAGGACTCCAACCCCAACCAAAGTCGCTGTTCTGGAATCAGCCATGCCTGATGCCTAGTGCAGGAGCCAATTTTTCATTGCTTGAGCAGCGGTGAAGCGGACTTCAAGGCATTGAGGGACTTGGCTCATGAGTTGAAGGCTGTCGCAGTTGAGCTTAGGCGCAACAGGTTGTTGCGTGGCTTCCCGCTGCAGGATTTACTCTTCCATCAGCACTGCTTCGCGGGTGAGCAGCGCAAAGAAGCATATGCTACGATCTCCATGGCCGCAGGGCCTGCAATCAGATTGGTACAGGTTGCTGGAAAGTGATTTTTGATTGTGGCCTACTATGCCCTTCAGCTTATGGAAGGCATGCATATCTTTGGCTTGATTGTTGTACAGATGCGATGTCTTGGGTACCTTTCTTGGACAAAGCTATCTGTCGAGTGTAGCAGCCTGAGACGCACCTTGGGCAAATGCATTGTGAGACACCACTCCCGTAGGATGTAATAGATTTCAAGATGTGAGCTTAGAGGTTTAAGACAGATTTTGTCCTTGACCACCTGTAGATTGACAAAGGAGATGTTCGGGCGCGCAGTTATGTGGCTACCTCTGTTGTCTAACTGATGTCCCAGTGCCAGCCCTTCCACTCAGGTTGCAATGCTGCTGTACTGGGCACTGCTACTGGATCTTACCATCTTCTCCATGCGCATATCTGCACCATGGTCCAAGCGAAAATTGCATGTATTTGCCTGTCAACCCTGTGTGCACGCTGTAGGCATTTACACTGGTCTGTGGAAGGGTGCTCAGCGAACTTGGTCTTTTCTTGAGCTTCTGGGCACGGAGTTTGCATGAAGTGGTCAAGATGTGCTGTACGCAGCATGCTCGGTCTCTTCGCAAAGCTAAGGCTCATTAGTCTTCCTGATTGTTACGTTTGCAAGTTCAATAGCTGCTCTGAATCATCACTGCGAAGACTTCATCAACATCCCTGTGGGTGCATTGTCACTTATGGTGCCGGCCTTAGCACAGACGAGGCTGCATGCGCCCTCCCGGATTAAAGCTGTGGAAGCTTGCAGTGCTGAAGGAGATCTCTTTGGGCATGTTCCCCAGTCAGAATTTCCAAGAGATTCAAGACGAGATCTCCGTGCTTCTAACGGTGAGCTTGTTCATAATCGTTGTCATAGCTCCTCCGCAGCAGTAGATTCTTGTATGTACAAATTTGTGTCTGCTTCCATTTCTCTCGCGACTGCAAGGTTTTCCTCTTGAACCTCCTGGTTGCGCAGCTCAATGGTGCATATGCCAGCGTGTACGATGATATGGTGGGCTACGCACGCTTAACCCGTGGCAGCATCATTGTGGGGGTCTAAGCTTGACTTGGACAGTTGAGCATGGCTTTGCATGTTCGGAGTTTTGCTTCCGTGCTGCAGATTCAGGTCTCTGCGCTTGAAGGGGTGTCGGCAAACCGTTGGCAACGATTCCTTGCTTCTCTTCGCTTTGAGGTCTGCCGCATGCCACCAGTTGACAGGCACTGTTTAGAGAGGTACATCATCTCTGAAATGCCTGCATACAAAGAACTAGTTGCAGGAGCGCTTAGAATTCAATGAGGGCGACGTCGGCCTGGCCGGGGGAATTCAAGCAGCTTGGACCCTTCGACATGGTCTCGTATGTACTGCAGCGAACGAGCTTCAGAGTAAGAACCACAAAGCTCGCCCATTGGACAACCGCACTTGTCTGTAAAGCGGCTTGCTAGTACTCAAGTGACTGATCTGAGCTATGGTCGATCGGCATGTGCTTCCCCACGTTTGAGGTTGTTCAAAGTCAAGAGCCGAGGTTACGGAGCCTGCCAATGAGCATCCTACTACAGTGGCTGGGCAGTTCATTTCTCGAGATGGGATGTTGGCAAGCTGTCTTTTTGAGGATTTTCTATATTGTGGATGCTGATTGGTTCTTTGCAGTTGCAAAGCCATGGCCGGGCACTGTGTGCTCCGAAGGTGGAGAACATTCGCCGATTTGGAGGCTCCACATCGCCAGCCATGCCATGGCCGGAAGAGGTCCACGGTGATGAGGCTGAGGCTGGTATGGCTGGTCAAGTGCGGAGGGGACCACTGGGAGGATCTTTGTTGAGTGATGAACATGTTGAGGACAAGTTGGATCGGCTGGAAAAGGTCATCTTGCGAGCCACCAAGACTCTCAGCTTGATAATGTTCAATATCAACCTGCTGGAATCAGTGAGAGATGCTGGACTCGTGCACACGGATGTTGCTTGACCCGCATTTTATCTCATCTAGCTTCTCCGATAACATGGGTCTTGGCTTTGCTTAAGTTGTTTGGTTCCCAAGCTTGGCAGGAGCTTTGGCCACCTGGCTTTGGTTTGTTAGCTGCCGTGTGAGTGCGCATCTTGGTCTTGCGTGGTAGACTATCCGCGCGAAGGAAGATCACCAGCCGCAGCAAGAAGAATGGCACTGGAAGTTCATCCATGGCAGGAAGCTCTTCCCAGATGAGTTCCACGAAGCTTGTCTAGTTAATTGCTGGTGAGTGAGGTCGTAAGTCGGCTGTAAGTGCCATGACCTGTGCCTTGCGGGAGTTTGTGTTGGTCTTGTCGCCGGTGGAACACGCAAGGTCAGATCAGGATAGCAGCGGTGCTGACGGCTCGGAGTAAAGCCTGATCTGGATGAGAATGCTGTACAAAGCGCCTGAGGATAGCATTGGAAGTCGAGAAGCCTCAAAGTTTCACGGATGGTTTGATACGGTGCCTTTAAGCTTCTCAGCGACCAATCCTGTCGCCGCGTGGCATGCCTTGCCGAAAAGGAGAGGTTGCCAACAATGCATGTACGATCAGTGCTCAGGCCATTTCTACCTCTTGCTGCATACTCTCATAGAAAGTGTGGTTTCCTGTAAGACTGGGAGCAGTGACCAAGCAAGCACTGTTGTCAGAGACATCAAAGACCGCATCGGCCCCAAAATGTGGCAATGCGGACTCATTCCAGCTTGTGATTTCGATGTTCCAAGGTGGCAGCATTTGGTCGTTGCTGCCCCTGTTCCAGGCGCGAAGCGCTGTGCACAGCAAAGGCCGACAGAATGCTGCCTCCAAATGTGGCTTGGGGCAAGGCAGAGAAGCCCATGCCAAACCTGGTCTTGTTTGTCTTAGTTGTTCAGACGTTGATTGTATAAGTTCTTGGCATGTCATGTCCAGCTTGGAAGGTTTTCAGCGGGTAGGAGGCCTGCAGATGTAGCCTTACTCCCAACACTCTTTCCCGGAACCCGTCGACCGTGGTGCGCACCCCTACCCACTTCGGGAAAAACTGGTTCCCACACAGCTTTAGAAGGATTTGTCTACGGACACGGATTCACGAGAGCGACGAGATTTTTCAGCTAAAGCCCACTGCAGAGTCGAACTCCACGACTCTCGTGGGCATGATCCTGTACAGGAGCAAGGCTCACAAGACTTCATGTACTGTACGAAATAGGTGTAAATTTGGAAAGCTGTAAGCTGGGCTACCAGCAAATCCAGGACTCCTGCAGGCGCCATGCACAATGCAGGGTCCCTGCAGGTTTGCCTGAGCAGTTGCAGAAGCTGGGTTGATGTCGTCTGGGATGCAGCGAAGACCCGGTATGCAAGTAGTGCTCCGATGCTAGCGCTACTTTGCTGCGCCACAGTAATTTGACGAAACAAAGCCGTTTTCATGAATGAAAAGGTCCAGAACAGTGCACATTGCAACAAGACAGATTAACTCAATCCTGCTGGCACCCACCGCCAGCGACGAGTACCGTGCTTCATCTTCCAGAGCACGCCTGCCTCTGCATGAGCTTCTCCGGCAAGAGGCCTTCTTCCGAAGCACCAGTTGGACGATCACATTTGACATCACATGCTTAAACAGGGGACTCTGTAGCTGCCTTTAGCTAAAGAGCAGTTGTACACTCGAGTCTGTTTCCACCACACCACTCCCCAAAGCTGCAACCTTTCCCCAATCGGAGTCGGATGATGGTGCGCAGCTCGTAGCTCCGCTCCTATTGTCGTCCTTTGTGCCTGATGGGCTCTTAGCTGCAATGGCGCTTTCCTGGCGCCTGCCCCTCGTCCCAACACGCAGGAAAGCCAAACTCAACAGGGCTTCACGAGTGCCTACCATGCGGAACCCCTGCCAGGTTTGACTTCGAGCCATCAAATCTGGCTTATGATTTAAATCCAAAGTTGATTTCTAAGGCGCCTGGCTCTGTTGGCAGCACTTCGTGCCACCGCACGAGGAGCGGCATCACCCGCCCTGCGAGCATGGTCCTCAAGGGGAACATGCCTGATGTTGGTGGACTACGTGCAACATGCACATTTGCACTTGCAGAAGAGGCAAGTGCGCGCCAAGCAGCTGCAGATGGAGCCTCACAGGCTGCCTGCGTCAGCAGCCTGTGGGATGTTGCTGCAAAATGCTCCAATCATGTTTCATGCTAAACGAAAACAAGCTACATCCGCGAACACATTGGCGTAAACACCAATTGCAAGACAAGCTGAGTTGGCAGGATTCGCTAGAGCAGGCTGTTTTCTTGCAGCGCCTGTTGATTTTTTCGTGAGTGTTTTGACCGTTTTTGCTGTTCCCGAGCAACTCACTGAATCTCTGCTGCTTCGAGTTTTTTTCTCAACCCTTTCAGTCGGGCTTGTTCGTCTATTCATTTTACTCGTTGCGCGCTTATGAATGAGGCAGTCGTCAGTTTCCACTACATTCTCCATTTTCGCCTCCGCTTGCAACATGTCACGGGGTAGTATCCATAAACCCTGCAAGCTTTCCCCAACAGCGCGCGACGGCGTCTCCTGCCCTTGGGTTTTGGACCCGGTTCTGGAGCGGGTTCCGGTATTCATCTTTCGTAGATTCCCAAAGGTTGAATTGCAGCACTTTATTGTGGAAGCTTGGAACAGTTTCGTTTGCTGGGTCTTGGGTTTTCATGAGTTGCCACGTGTTTCTGAGGGTTTCCTGAGGGTTTCCTCACAGTTTCCTCGGCGGTGTTGTGGGTTTCCTCTGGGTTCCATGGTTTTCCTAAGGTTTTCGCCAATAAGTGAAGCGATAGAGTTTCGAGCCCTTGGGTTTGCGGGAGCCGGTTCTAGAACAGCTTCCGGAGCAAGTTCCGGAGCTTGTTCCGGTACTTACCTTTTGTGAAGTCCCAAATAAGATAGCATCCGTCAAGTTATTGGGGTTGCCAGTGGGTTTCCTATGCTGGGTTTTGGGTTTTCGCGAGGGTGCATGCCCTGAGGTTTGCCTAACGGTTTCCTGAGGGCTTTTGTGGGCTTCAAAGGATTTACTTGCGTGTTCCCGAGACTTTTCTCCAACAGCGAAGCGTTGGGGTCTCCAGCTCTTAGGTTTGATCAAGCTTTGAAGCAAGTTAACGGCTCTCTGAACTGGTCCCGGGGCATGTCTCTCATTTGAGAGCTTTCCACTTCAATCTTTTTAGATTTTGACCATCACGCTATCTGGAAAACTAGCCAAAAGAGAATCTCTTTAGCAAGAGATGCTTTCCTAAGTGGTCCTTGAAAAATCACGGCGTGAACGAACAAAAAGTGTGGCAGGCTTCTACAAGAAAGGCGTGTGCAGAGACGGATTTTGTTGGAATTGCATCAGCAGATGTTACCGCGAGCCCCTGGGGCGCCGCTAACTCTATCCAAATTCGCCATATTGCTAATGACATCTCCCTCCGCAATGTAAACAGCCAGGGCTGATATCTAGGGCTTTTCTTTACATCCAGAAATTGACGAAGATCTGGCGCAGAATCTGAAAATCCAATCGTTGTCTGGGATTCAGACCCTGTCCTCGCCGGCCCCGCCCTCCTGGACCTTGTGTATGGTATAGCTGGCCGGCCCCCAGTTCCTGCAATGAAATGGTTCATGTTTTGGAACAGGTTCTGGAGGGCGAGCGGGTTCCGGATCAACCTGCTTCCATAATTGATCCATGTGTTCTTCAAGGACAAGATTCCAAAAATCAAGCTGTATTTTCAAAGTACAGATGCAAGTTTGGATAGCTATCGCGTTCAGGCAAAAAGGAACGGATCGCTTCAGCGACAAAAAGTCCAAGGCTGTCAGCCCCGAATCGCCGTACACATTTACATGCTGATTATCCTATCTGCTCTTGCAAGCCTACGCCTTAACAGTGCTATGCTGCGGTTGCCCCGAAACCTGAACTCGCCATTAGCCGTTGGGGCTGCAGTGGGCTTATTTGAACACTTACAGGCCCTTCTCTTTTGCATTTTCCGCGATGACAATCTGCCTTACAGTTCGAGCTACCAGAAGACCAGCACAACACAATTTCTGACGACAGGCATGAATTTTTAAAAGTGACGTTCTCAAATATTCGCATAGTATACAATGGTATTATACTTTATACTGGAGGTATTCATTATTTCGGGCCTGGCGGCAAGTGCTGGCCTGGCGCCGCCCCCTCACCCATCGCAGGTGTTACCAACACTTGTATTTACAGCCACGCGCACAGCCCACATCGCGTATTTTGAGTGTGTTGCTGGGGCTTACAGCGCATTGCAAGGGAGCCCCAGACAGCCAGCATCATGAGCATCATGGGGCCTGTCCCCATTTCCTTCCTGAGACAGCGCATATGATCATCCAACACCCGTGCAAAACCGAGGTATGTTGAGGTGTTCAAATGGTGAGAAACGAAGACGTTCCTCATCAAAATGTTTGGAAAGATGTGGCTGGAGACCTGACTGAAGATTCGTAGTCCTCGTAGGAACATCTATTGAAATCCGTTGCAAGTGACCTCACCTGTAGCGAGGAACCATCATGGTCACCTGCGTTTCTGCCACACCATCAGCACATATCAGCACTACATAAATATCATGCAAGCCGAAGAAATTCCACGAAAGTACTCCGCGTTTTGGTATGTACGATTGCTGACGATGCGATCCAGGCTTTTTGGTCTATCTGTCCAAGACCTGGACAAGAGAATGAAAAGAATCAGAGCATGTAGGAACAGAACTTTCTGGTTGACATTTGCCGGTCTTGCAGCTGCGGCCGACTGTGGCAGGCCGACTTCCTGAAGATCCTGCGCCGAAAGCGCGCATCGCATCAGGAGGCAAGGGGTCATGGCTGGGATCATATCTCGGTTGCACCATGTTGTTTACGCAGATCAGCACTTTGGCAAGCCATCTTGGAAAAGTCGGCAGCCACCATCAGGCAGCAGCAGCTGTAGAGGGTCTCCGAGCTGGTGGCTATTTAGGTGGGGGTCTCGGATACAGGAGGCACCGCAGAGACCAGGAGCATCTGGTGAGGTTTCTGGTCTTGGACAAGCTACTTATGAATATTGCCCGTCGTCTTGCTACAGTTCTACATTCTCCAAGGCGGTGTGCGTGGCTACTCTTCTGCGATAGTGGCCTCCAGACGAGGCAGTGATGGAGTTTGGAAGGATTCGACTTTAATTTAATTCAGCCGAAATGTGCTGGTCGGTCTAGATGTGCAAGCAAGACAGGGCGGCAAGTGATGCAAGCGAATCTGCGATGCACAACATGCACAAAGGTTAGCCAGCTGTCGCATACACAATCATTTTTGCGTGCCGATCTTCATGTCCGTGCATGCAAGTGTGTCTCAAATGGCCTGTTGTATGATACAAGATGGGCCGCATGAGAGCAGCGACGCTCCATTCAAGAGTGTCTCGTAACATGGTACCTGCGGAA